CACACACACACACACACACACACACACACACACACACACACACACACACACACACACGTATGGAGTGTGGAACAGAGGGACGGTGTGTGTCTGTTAACACAGTATGAGTGAAATAATTTAATGGGTGAACTTTAGAAATATGTGTTTTAAACTTTAGATTTGGGATAAAAATCAAGTCTTTTCAAGTAAACAGGTTTAAGTCCAATTCAAGTCCCAAGTTATTGGTGCACAAGTCAAGTCTAAAGTCTTAAAATGAATGACTCGAGTCTGACTCGAGACCAAGTCATGTGACTCAGGTCCCCACCTGTGCCGTGTACAGTGGGCTGTGAGGTTGTGCAGCCTTACTTTATACAGTTTGTTTTAATGTGGCCAAAACAGCCAACATGTGCAGGAAAACAGCTTAAATGTTGTTAAAATGGCTGAAATGATCAAAAAGAAGCAGAAGGAGCACGTTTGATGAAGTATGCATAAAAAGCTGCTAATGTGTATTTAGCTTGGAAAAGCTACATAATAACTGAAATAATACAGAATATTATATGAAATAGTGAAATAAAAGCAGAAATGAGCAGAAAAAAGAAATGATAGATTATCAGGATTAAACTTCAACAACAGATTATTCTTTAAGATGAATCAGTTCTCATAGTTTCTGACATTTATTTTCACTTGTCAGAGCAGACAGAAGTAAGACGACACAGGTATCAGTACAGTGAGAGGTCCAAACGTTTCACTACCAGTTAATCCAGACTTGAACCTGAGCTCAGCAGCTCCAGGCTTGTTCTCAGGCAGAGGTTTAGATATGAGGGCAGCTTGTTGTCAGTAAATGACAGCTTATTTGTTTTGTGGAGCTTCAGCAGTGAAAAGTGACGAGTCATGGTTGTGTTTCAGAACATCTGTACATTATTCCAGCGCTGACAGGTGAGCAGATAATGAGCTGACAGGTGAGCAGATAATGAGCTGACATTAAAGCCTCTGATGACAGACGACCCTCAGAAACACTTCCAGACACCCCAGTTTGAGAGCCACACACTGTTGTTGTGTTTGTTTGTGTTGTTCTTCCTGTTGAACTTGTTGATCTGTGCAACAGGTGGATGAATATCATGGAACTCAGGTCTGTGATCCGTACGCCTGGCTGGAGGACCCGGACAGTGCAGAAACCATGGTACCAGAGGAGAAAGAACAGGTTCTCTCTAACAGAACCTTCAGAACTGACCTGGTTTGTGTTGTCTTGTTGTGTTCAGGCGTTTGTGGAGGAGCAGAACAAAGTGACCATGCCGTATCTGGAGAACTGTGCAGTCCGGTCCCGGTTCCAGCAGCGCCTCACCGAGCTCTACGACTATCCCAAATACAGCTGCCCGTACAAACGGGCCACCAGGTAGAACCAGTRCACCTGCAGGACCAACACACACCTCAGCAGCTTGCTCTGACATCACTTCCTGTTTTTATTTGAAGGTACTTCTACTTTCACAACAAAGGCCTTCAGAACCAGAGCGTTCTGTATGTGCAGGACTCCCTGGAGGCTCCTGCCACCGTCTTCTTTGACCCAAACGCTCTGTCTGAGGACGGTACCGTGGCTCTGAAGAGTGGGTCGAAGCACAGAACCTGAGCAGGATGGACGGCGTACAGAACCACTCACCTCCGTCTGTGTCTGTTTCAGTGGGTCGACTGTCAGAGGAGTGTGAATTCTTTGCATACGGGCTGAGCAGCAGCGGTTCTGACTGGGTCACGGTTCGGTTCATGAAAGCTGATGACCTCAGTCCACTGCCCGATGTCCTGGAAAGAGTTAAATTCAGCTGCCTGGCCTGGACTCACGATGCTAAGGGGGTCTTTTATAACTGTTACCCCCGACAGGAGGGCAAGACTGATGGTGAGGAAACAGAACCAGGCCTGGGTTCTGGGTCCACAGAACATGTCTTGTGTTTTTACTCTTGTCTCTCCCTGAAGGCACAGAGACCACCTCCAACATCAACCAGAAGCTCTACTACCATGTGATCGGAACCAAACAGTCCGAAGACGTCCTGGTCGCAGAGTTTCCGGACCATCCCAAGTGGCACAGTTCTGTAACCGTAAGTCTGCTCGGGTCACTTCCTGTTCCAACAGCCAGCTTCAGCAGAACCAGGGTGACCCCATCAAGTCCTGGTCCACAGACAGACCCAGAGTATTCAGGTGCACCAGCAGTGAGCAGAACCACCAGAATCCTTCAGAACCTTCCTCTGAACAACAACTCACTGTCTGTGGTTCTGGAGAAGGAACAGAGACAGTTCAAGTCTTACTGTTAATTACACACATAAAGAACTGTGAGTGGTTCTTCCTCTCCAAGGGTTTGTTGCACTGAAGGGAATGATGATGATGATGATGATGAGGAGGAGGAGGAGGAGGAGAAGGAGGAGGAGAAGGAGGACGACTTGTGAAACTCTTCAGTGAACATCTGACAGTTTGTCTCTAATGTGAAACAGAACAAACACCTGAGGAAGATTTAGTTTGATTTAGTGACTAATCCATGAAATCCTTCAAAGACTAAACTGTTCAGTTTGGTTCGGTTCTGGAGCTCTCACTTTGTTTTAACTTGTTCCATATTCACTCCTACTTGTTTCCTGTTTGCTCCTCTCACCAGGTATCAGATGATGGCAGATATGCAATTCTGTCCATCACCGAGGGCTGTGAGCCTGTAAACCAGCTGTGGTACTGTGACCTGCAGCAGCTTCCACACGGAATCAAAGGTCTGTATCCAAACTGAAGGTTAGTCACTAAAGACTCAGTCACCTAAAGACTCAGTCACCTAAAGACTCAGTTACTAAAGACTCAGTTACTAAAGACTCAGTCACCTAAAGACTCAGTCACGTAAAGACTCAGTCACTAAAGACTCAGTCACTAAAGACTCAGTCACTAAAGACTCAGTCACCTACAGACTCAGTTTCTAAAGACTCAGTCACTAAAAGACTCAGTCACTAAAAGACTCAGTCACTAAAGACTCAGTTACTAAAGACTCAGTTACCTACAGACTCAGTTACTAAAGACTCAGTCACGTAAAGACTCAGTCACGTAAAGACTCAGTTACTAAAGACTCAGTTACTAAAGACTCAGTCAACTAGAGACTCAGTTACTAAAGACTCAGTCACCTACAGACTCAGTCACCTACAGACTCAGTCACTAAAAGACTCAGTCACTAAAGACTCAGTGACTAAAGACTCAGTTACCTACAGACTCAGTTACTAAAGACTCAGTCACGTAAAGACACAGTCACGTAAAGACTCAGTTACTAAAGGCTCAGTTACTAAAGACTCAGTCAACTAGACTCAGTTACTAAAGACTAAGTCACCTAGAGACTCAGTTACTAAAGACTCAGTTACTAAAGACTCAGTCACCTAGAGACTCAGTTACTAAAGACTCAGTTACTAAAGACTCAATTACTAAAGATTCAGTTACTAAAGACTCAGTCACCTAAAGACTCAGTTACTAAAAACTCAGTCACCTAAAGAGTCGGTCACCTAGAGACTCAGTTACTAAAGACTCAGTTACTAAAGACTCAATTACTAAAGACTCAGTTACTAAAGATGCAGTAACTAAAGACTCGGTCACCTAAAGACTTAGTTACTAAAGACTCAGTCACCTAAAGACTCAGTTACTAAAGACCCTGTCACCTAAAGACTCAGTCACCTAGAGACTCAGTTACTAAAGACTCAGTTTCAAAAGACTCAGTTACAAAAGACTCAGTTACTAAAGACTCAGTCACCTAAAGACTCAATAACTAAAGACTCAGTTACTAAAGACTGTTACTAAAAACTCAGTCACCTTGAGACTCAGTTACTAAAGATCAGTTATTAAAGACTCAGTCACCTAGAGACTCAGTTACTAAAGACTCAGTCACCTAAAGACTCAGTTACTAAAGACTCAAGTCACCTGAAGACTCAGTTAYTAAAGACTCAGTCACCTAAATACTCAGTTACTAAAGACTCAGTCACATAGAGACTCAGTTACTAAAGACTCAGTCACCTGGAGACTCAGTTACTAAAGACTCAGTCACCTAGAGACTCAGTCACCTAGAGACTCAGTTACTAAAGACTCAGTCACTAAAGACTCAGTTACTAAAGACTCAGTTACTAAAGACTAAGTCACCTAGAGACTCAGTTACTAAAGACTCAGTCACCTAAAGACTCAGTTACTAAAGACTCAGTCACCTAGAGACTCAGTTACTAAAGACTCAGTTACTAAAGACTCAATTACTAAAGATTCAGTTACTAAAGACTCAGTCACCTAAAGACTCAGTTACTAAAAACTCAGTCACCTAAAGAGTCGGTCACCTAGAGACTCAGTTACTAAAGACTCAGTTACTAAAGACTCAGTCAACTAAAGACTCAGTTACTAAAGATTCAGTTACTAAAGACTCAGTCACCTAAAGACTCAGTTACTAAAGACTCAGTCACCTAAAGACTCAGTTACTAAAGACTCAGTTAGTAAAGACTCAGTCACCTAAAAACTCAGTTACTAAAGACTCAGTCACCTAGAGACTCAGTTACTAAAGACTCAGTTACTAAAGATTCAGTTACTAAAGACTCAGTCACCTAAAGACTCAGTTACTAAAGACTCAGTTACTAAAGACTCAGTCACCTAAAGACTCAGTCACCTAGAGACTCAGTTACTAAAGACTCAGTTACTAAAGACTCTTTCAACTAAAGACTCAGTTACTAAAGATGCAGTAACTAAAGACTCGGTCACCTAAAGACTTAGTTACTAAAGACTCAGTCACCTAAAGACTCAGTTACTAAAGACCCTGTCACCTAAAGACTCAGTCACCTAGAGACTCAGTTACTAAAGACTCAGTTACTAAAGACTCTTTCAACTAAAGACTCAGTTACTAAAGATGCAGTAACTAAAGACTCGGTCACCTAAAGACTTAGTTACTAAAGACTCAGTCACCTAAAGACTCAGTTACTAAAGATTCAGTCACCTAAAGACTCAGTCACCTAGAGACTCAGTTACTAAAGACTAAGTCACCTAGAGACTCTTTCAACTAAAGACTCAGTTACTAAAGATGCAGTAACTAAAGACTCGGTCACCTAAAGACTTAGTTACTAAAGACTCAGTCACCTAAAGACTCAGTTACTAAAGATTCAGTCACCTAAAGACTCAGTTACTAAAGACTCAGTCACCTAAAGACTCAGTTACTAAAGACTAAGTCACCTAGAGACTCAGTTACTAAAGACTCAGTCACCTAGAGACTCAGTTACTAAAGACTCAGTTACTAAAGACTCTTTCAACTAAAGACTCAGTTACTAAAGATGCAGTAACTAAAGACTCGGTCACCTAAAGACTTAGTTACTAAAGACTCAGTCACCTAAAGACTCAGTTACTAAAGACTCAGTTACTAAAGACTCAGTCACTTAAAAACTCAGTCACCTAAAGACTCAGTCACTAAAGACTCAGTCACTTAAAGACTCAGTCAACTAAAGACTCAGTCACTTAAAAACTCAGTCACCTAAAGACTCAGTCACCTAAAGACTCAGTCACCTAAAGACTCAGTCACTAAAGGTTTAGTCACATAAAGACTCAGTCACCTAAAGACTCAGTCACCTAAAGACTCAGTCACCTAAAGACTCAGTCACTTAAAAACTCAGTCACTTAAAAACTCAGTCACCTAAAACTCAGTCACTAAAGGTTCAGTCACCTAAAGACTCAGTCACCTAAAGACTCAGTCACTAAAGACTCAGTCACCTAAAGACTCAGTCACCTAAAGACTCAGTCACTAAAGACTCAGTCACCAAAGTTCAGTCACCTAAAGACTCATCATCTAAAGACTCAGTCACTAAAGACTCAGTCACCTAAAGACTCAGTCACTAAAGACTCAGTCACTAAAGGTTCAGTCACCTAAAGACTCAGTCACTAAAGACTCAGTCATTAAAGACTCAGTCACCTAAAGACTCAGTCATCAAACAGCTCAGTCATCAAACAGCTCAGTCACCAAACGGATCAACTTCTCAGTTTGTAATAATTGCACAGGGCTGATGTTTCATTTGGAGCTGTCTTTTGTTCCTGGTGCTGTGAGTTTCCTGTGAGCAGCTGATCAGGGATCTTTGAGTCTGGAGATCCAGAACAGGAAACATGTGAACAGAATCTTAGAGTTTGTAACAGCACCAAACTTTAGCTGAAGATGCAGCCAGTGTCTTCAGATGTTCGTGGTTTGAGATGAAGCTTTGCTCTTCAGCTTGTTAAAAGTCTTCCTCGGCTGCCTGCTGCAGATAACACACTGACTGCTCGTGAATCCATAATCACGTTACACAACTGGTCTTTACAAGCCATGGCTCCAGGTGTCTGTGGAAAAGTGAAAATGAAGTGAGTCATCTGTAATAAGGCTGAAGAACAGTGAAACTGTTCCCTGAAATGATTTCCAGTGAATTCCTGAGGTCAAACCAGTTTGTTCACCTGTGGCAGGTGATAAAAACATTTTCTGTCATGTTTCTCCAGAAGTTGTGATTAAAGTTTCTGTTCTTCCTCAGAGATTTGTTGCTTTAATTGTTCAGACTTTTTGTTTGTAGAAGTTTAGTTTTTCCTGTTGGAGCTCTAAGGAGCAGGTGGTTGGATCCAGCTGCAGCAGTAAAACATCTGGACTGTCATGTTTCCACCCTCTCTGTTCCTTTGTGTGTGTGTGTGTGTGTGTGTGTGTTTTCGTTGAAACTCCACTCAGTGCTGTGGCCTGTTATGTGGTGAGAAGCCCCACAGGCAGCCATGGCTACACTTGGTCTTGTGAAAACCTGGTTTTGGTTCCTCCAGGCCACCGTAGTCCATCTTTTAAAGCTTTRTGTGARTTGTCCCTCCTGTCCTGCAGGTCTGCTGCCCTGGGTCAAACTGGTGGAGAACTTTGAAGCTCAGTACTCGTACATCACCAACGAAGGGAGCGTGTTCACGTTCCGCTCCAACCTGAACGCCCCTCGGTACTGTCTGATCAACATCGACGTTCAGAAACCCGACAGACAGAACTGGACCACCCTGATCCCGCAGCACCACCAGGACGTCCTGGGTGAGGTTTTACAGATCTCCTCCTGGGGAAAGGTCAGGTTAAAAATGACAACAAATCATTTCTAAACTTCAGATTTTCTGTCCAACTCAACTGAAAACCAGTCTGTTTGAGGAGAAACAGAAAGAAATGAACATGTGCTCTCAGGAAGACACACTTGGACATGGTAAGATTTGTCCTCTCAAGGTCCAAATGTGTCAGACTGAGGACATCTCTGTGGACCGTCCTCCCACAGGTTTCCTCTCAGATCTGGGTCCAGACTCTGGTTTGGACTTTCAAACACTCAAATTTCCTTCAGATGAAATGGATTTCTGTTGATCTTCATCTTTCTAGCAGAGACCTGAAGGTCTTAGGTACTTATAAACAAGGACCTGGACTAAAACCTGAGTTCTAGCAGGCCCACATCATGATGCCTTCACCACCGTGTTTTACTGTGGGGATGATGTTCTTTGGATCATGGTAAATGGCTTGAACTTATATAGAGCCTTGTCAAGTCCACTTGGACCCCAAGGCACTTTACACTTCAGACATTCACCCATTCAGCAGTAAGCTACACTGTAGCCACAGCTGCCCTGGGGCACACTGACTGATAGCAGGATGTTAGCAGGATGTTAGCAGGATGTTAACGGGATGTTAACAGGATGTTAACAGGATGTTAGCAGGATGTTTCCAGGATGTTAACAGGATGTTAACAGGATGTTAGCAGGATGTTAGCAGGATGTTAACGGGATGTTAACGGGATGTTTCCAGGATGTTAACAGGATGTTAACGGGATGTTAACGGGATGTTTCCAGGATGTTAACGGGATGTTTCCAGGATGTTAACAGGATGTTAACAGGATGTTTCCAGGATGTTAACGGGATGTTTCCAGGATGTTAACAGGATGTTTCCAGGATGTTAGCAGGATGTTAGCAGGATGTTAACAGGATGTTAACGGGATGTTTTGCAGGATGTTAGCAGGATGTTTCCAGGATGTTAGCAGGATGTTAACGGGATGTTTCCAGGATGTTAACAGGATGTTTCCAGGATGTTTCCAGGATGTAAACAGGATGTTTCCAGGATGTTTCCAGGATGTTAACAGGATGTTAGCAGGATGTTAACAGGATGTTAACGGGATGTTTTGCAGGATGTTAGCAGGATGTTAGCAGGATGTTTCCAGGATGTTTCCAGGATGTTAGTAGGATGTTAGCAGGATGTTAGTAGGATGTTTCCAGGATGTTAGCAGGATGTTTCCAGGATGTTAGCAGGATGTTAACATCCTGGTCTCTGTGGGATCTCACTTCTTACTCGTTTTCTTGTCCTGATTGAGTAAAAGTCAGGGAACTAAAGTGTCTAAAGTCTGGTTGTATTCTGACACAGAAAGGGGTGGGAATGATTTCATCAGAGCTCCGTTGCTTAGTTTATTGTAGTTTCTGGTGGAAAAAGTCCAGTAAGCTTCAGAAACCCATAACAGGCTCTTTCATGGAACTGAACTTCCACACGTCACTCCTCCAAGTGTTTCTCTGAATCTGTCTGAAGGGTTCGGGAAGTCTGTGGCTGAAAACCTTCGTCAGAGGGAACTCTACGAAAAAGTGAAACTGGATCCTGAAACACGCACTTTGACTTTTCTGACTCATCTAAATGATGGGAAGTCATGATGCTGACAGTGAATCAGGTGTCCGGGCAGCTTTTTATTAGACAGAAACAACAAGAGAGCTTCAGACTAAATGTTTTACAACACTGACCTTTGAACTCCTATAATCCCCCAAAGAGCCACTCAGATCAGGACTTTCAGAAACACAAGTTATGTTAAATAGAAACATTTATTGAAACATCAGGGATGAATCGATCTCTGAGCTGCTGGGTGTAAAAACTTCAGGTTTGTTTTTCAGGTAAAAATTTAAAATCAGATTTTTCTCCTTAAACTCAGACAACATTCTCACTTTTTTATTTTCTAATCAGATTATTGGACCTGGGTTTTCTTAATGTCTAAAGGGAGAACCTAATGAGTGTCTGTGATGCATCTGAGTGAAACAGTTTCCTGTTTACGCAACATTCTTCATGTTAGGCTGTCCTCTGCTGGCTGCAGCCGACACCTGCAGTCACACCTGTCCTTCAGACAAACCATGACCTGCTTCTGGTTCTGATCCACCATCAGATGGTCACTTCTTCTCAACAACGTGACACAGAAAATACTCAAATAAACTTGTGATCCACTGCATGTCAGCTGAAAATATCAAAAGAAAGATCAGAAAACAGGGTTTTGGTTCAGAAGATCTGGTGAAGATAGGTCCAGTTAGGGGGTCTGGGGGTGGGCGTGGGGGGTCTGTAACAGCTTCAGTGGAGAATAAACAAAAYGTTTAAGTTTTTAGTCCTAAAAAACCTCTTCAGAGCCACCAGGAGGAACGAATGATGGGAAAGTTTGAACATTGAAATGTTCTTTAGTTTATTCCACTTGAAAATCATTGACTTCATTTTGATTTGTTTGTTAAAAATATAAAGGTAATGTTTAAGAAGAATTTCATAAACATATTTATCCTTCTGTTGACCATTATTTGTCATGTTTTTATTTTTGGACTTTAATATAAGTATATATACTGTGTGTGTGTGTGTG